AAAAATATTTTATTTCTCATGCAGTTTTTAAATATTTTTAATTCAATAAAGTTCAAGATATAGTTAAAATGATAACAATGTACTTACAATTGAATAAACAGATTATGAATCACATTATCAATCAAATTAATTTTCGTACATGGTCATACAAATTATAAGTATATTTTATTATTAAAATATAATTAAAATGAATAATCGATCAAAATTATTTAATGTTTTAATATATTTATAATCTTTAAATGATTAAAAAATATTTGAAATACATTAGTTATAATATCTTATAAACAATTTTTTTATTAATTATGATTGAAATAAAACTAAATATTAAGTTGTTAATATTGTGTATACAAAATTACCTAATACCCACAAAGGGAAAACTATGTTTAACTCAAATCATTAAATTATACATTGAAATATTAGTTTACAATAGATATTTTACTAAATCTTTTAACTTCTAATTAACAAATTCGAAATATGATTCAAATTTAGCCTCGTTAAAAGCTCATAATTAGTATTGATGAATAGTTTAGCCTATTATTATTTACCTATTAAAATAGATAATTAATAATAAACAGATCCTGAATGAAGCTATAACATCTAAAAAATAAAATAAAACCGTTTAATTTAACTATGAATCATTTTTAAAGTTCTGTTAGAAAAAAAAAAATAAGTTGTTTGTTTACAGCTAATTTTTACTTTTTATTTTAGTATTATTACGTATAGTTAATTGGTAATATCCAGATCAAATATCTTAATTTAACAATTTACCAAAATAGGAAAAGATTACTCACTCTTTAAGACTGTTGATTTAATTCACACAAAAATATTTAATGTACCCATTTGCATTATTAGTTATTGCACATGTTGTGTACATAAAAATATTTACCTTGTGTACATTTTTTTCTTAAAAATTGAAATACTTTTTTCTAGTTATAAAAGAACATTCATTGTTTAAATAAAAACGTTTATTGATATACAGGTAAAAATAATTTTATTTTTATACTTATTTATTATATACATACATGTTTCGTATTTCAGACTATAAATTAAATCTAAAATATTACTATTTACACAATTGCAGTTATTTTATTATAGGAAAAAATAATTTCTATTTTTATGAAAAGTTTTGAAAAAAAATCAAAAGTTTAGATAAGATAAACATTACATTGTATTGATGTGTAAACATGGTAAATATTTTTGTATAAACAATAAACTGACGATCAAAGGCTGTGTAATCTCCATTTAATGTGCATAAAATGGTATACGAAGATATTAAAACGGAACATTCCTATTAAAATATGGTGTGATTACTGGCATGATGGGCTGTGAAGAAACAAATATTAAGTATTGAATTTCTAATTAACACTACTAGATAGAAAAATTCAGTATAAATCATAAAATTTTTAGAAATATGGGGTTAACATTTTTAATTTTAGATTTGTTTGTTGTTTATTTTAACGAACTGAACTAAAATACATTTATATATATTTAAAAATTAAAAATTATTTTAAATTGAGTATTATAATAAATCATAGAACATCTAAAGTAACTTCGGAAACATTTATTTAGTCATGTTTTAAAAATGTAATCTAAATGGTCTAACAAGGTTCTCTTGACTTTAAAATTTGTAAAATTTATAATACTCCACATTTTGTTTGTAACTCCAGGATTCTTTGACTCAGACTTAACCTTTAACGATATTCTCAATTTTTGACTCGCAACTATTTTTATTTATCACATTTTCTTCATAGAATTAACTCTTCAAATTGTATTTTTATAATGTTTCTCCTTCTTGTAATGTATTTGACTTACTATGAAGTAGCATTTCTAAAATATTTAAAGAATTTAATAAATTACTAATTTTAGCTGTACAAAAGTAATTTTAAAATATTTTGAATTAATGTGTATTGTTTGAATTAATTTTTAATAATTACCAAACAGAATTTTTGAACACCATATTTATATTAGTATTATGTTATGGTTTTTATAATAAACTGGACTAAAATTAAAAATTATAATAATTATTTCAAAAAACACCTGATGCTAGCCATTTATAACTTTATTAATTAATCACTAAAAAATACTCAAGAGTTGAGACATGAAATATGGACTGCGTATATGTATAAATGTTTTGAATATTATTTTCATTACAATTAACATAAAATATAAAGTACCAATTAGTTCAATTTTACAACTTCCAAAAATGTATAATAGCCTCCATATTAAAATAACTAGATTTTTAAATGCCATCATTATATTAAATTGTAAATATTAGAAATATTTTAATCATGTATCAGTATTATTTTAATTCGATAAATGCTTTTAAAATTATTCTCGTGCATCTTATTTCTACAAAAAAATATGCAAAAACAATGGGTTATAAAATAAAAACTTCATTGAATAGGTGGTATTCATAATATTACACGCACATCTTTGTATTATTATAGTGTTATAAACAGTCTAAGCATATTGCTAATATTATTTCAGTAAAAGCACTCGCGTGTATGAGCAGCACATTGAAAACTGTTTATAGAATATTATATGTAAAATGCGGCCGCGCCACCTCTATTCAATAATATGCATAGCATTTTTTTTACGTAATTTATTTCGCTCGATTCAAAATGCTATAACATATATTATATAAAGCTTAAACTCCTCCGATGCGTATAATTTATATACTATCCTTATTCATATTTTGTCGTACGTGTGTTTTTTCACTTATTTATAATTCAATATATTTGCACAGTGCATACTCGCCGCGAGTGTTGGTGAACATAATAAGTCTGTGAACATAAAATAGTAGATAAAGAATAATAGATCGAATAAAGAAGTGTTATAAGCCGGAGCAATTTACTGAAACTATTATAATAATTCTCTTTACATAAAAAAAAAAAAAATTGTATACACGTGAGGTCTTTCATTTAACATAGACCATATAGTTTAAAAGTTGAAAAACTTTTTGTAATTGCAACTCAACTATGCGTATATGAGACGTATAAAAAATGCACGTGCTTTGTGGAAAAAAAAATAACTGTGGGCTAGTGGTAAATAAAATATTGACTAAAAATGAGGTTATTTATCTCTTTTTATGTATATTTATTAATGAGATAAAACTATAAAAGTCACTCAACCTCGTAGCTGCTTTTAGTATAAACTGACTCATTTAAATATATTCACGCTAATATTGTTTAGGAATGACCCTCATTTTATGTATAGTTTTAAAAATATTTTATATTATTTTATACTCTATATTTATGTATATATTGTTTCTAAAACATAAACATAAAATTTATTTTATTTATTTAAACTTTATACTACAATTAGTTTCGACAATTAGGTGTTGCAAGAAACATAAAGGAAACAATATTAAATAGAAGTTATTTGCAAAAAGAAGGAGGAAAGTATTAAATTAAATTAAAAATCTTATATGAAAATCTAATATTAAGCTATAAATAATTTAACTTTCCCTACACTTATATGCGTGCACAAAATTTAACTGTATTTTACATCAAACTTAATTTTTTTACTTTACACTTAAAATAATACACATTATACATTTGTTACTACTGACAACAAACGTTTATTGATATCAACCTATTACTGTAGAAATGCACGTATTTTTCTAGTGAAACGATATATTATTTACATAACTTACCCAACATTTTCGTGTAACCCTAAAGAAACACAAACTACAATTTATATGTAATTCTTGTCCTTTTCGGTGTATGTTTTGCTTGTGGAAAAACATTATAAAACTACTTTGAAACAAGTTTTTAGGATAAAATAAGACAATACTCGAATATTTTGACGTGTCCTCATTTCTCACCAAAGAATATTTGATTTTTAGTAATTTGTGTGAAACTATTGAGAAATTAAATAATTCGAAAAACACGCAACAAATCATTCATTTTTTTTTTTATAAGTATTTAAAAATAAGTTTAACTCTGATTCATAACAGGTGCATAAAATCATCTGTTTTTATCATGAAATTTTCAGTATTCATTTTTACAAAAAAAATAATATTTAATAAAAAATGTATTTGGTGTAATAAAATGTATGTATTTTAAAGACCCATATTTTTATTTTATTATATTTAAATTTATTTTAGACTTAAAAAATATAACTAATTTTCTGTAAACTATAAAATATAACTAATAAAACTGCACAATCGCTATATTTTTGCGTTCAAACATTAAAATAATACATGAAATATAGCCTAAAAAACAATAGAAACTAATGTTAAGTAATTCATCGATAATATTCGTTTAATTACGATTACGTACCTATTACTATATACAATATATACATACTATAAGGTTTTCCTGCAAAGACTGAAACATCTACACATCACAAACATCTACAGATGCTTGCGGCGAAAGAATGAAAAGCATGGTAGAAAAATCATGAAGGGAAATAATTTACTGCTATACAAGCTCCAAATGTGGTCAAAATATTTTTTTTTAAAACAGCTAAATAGTTTTGAACAAAAATTTAATCCTTGTGTGAATATTAAACATAAGTAGACAATATAATTAATAAAAATCTCTACAGAATATAGTGTATATACGCTTTAACGCAAAGTCGTGGAAATTTTATCAATCAGTGATATTTCAATTGTGTTTTTTATGGATTTCTGAGAAAGAATAAATTTATCTTTCCAATAATATTTTATTTACTATTAAAAACGAGGTAGGAAATTTCATATTTTTAGCAAACAAAAATCAGCTGAATTACAATATCGAGTCCAGCCGTGTTTTGTCATAAATATTACAAGACTCAAATTATATTCGATACGTAGTCAAAGATATTTCCAATAATCATTTTGAGAGGCCTCTTTGAGAAACCCTTGATTATCATAATGACGTACATAGATATATAAATTAGACTCAATAATACCCTAAAAGATAATGTATTAAACTTGACTCCAGAAATGACTAGATCTCCATTTTTTTCATTAAATTAACATCATAAACGTGCCGTTAAATTCCCTTAAGACTGACCTGTTTTTTGTGATCCCATGATCGTTGATAGCTTAAACTCCAATGGTGGCGATCGTCTTTAGTAATTAGGCCGTGTGCTATTCATACGTCCATAGTGGTATTATCGTTGCGAAAGTTCGTTATTTTATACTTGAGTGGGGAGGGGAAAAACACGTGCAATTCGTTGTATCGGTAGACCGTTATAACGGTGGTCGTCGTGGTGTTCGCGATGCGACACGGCGGTATACTAAACTTATGGTGGCAGTCGCGCGGCATGACGGCAGCGTCGTCGGTGAAAATCGCGTGCCCCCGGCGGCGACGGCAGAAAACTAAAAACTTTAGTTTCCCTCGACCCACCCAGCAGTCAGTATCCAAAATTACAGGAAAACAAGAAGACAGGAATCAAAAGCTGGCCTAATGACAGCCTCGTGAATCTTGAACGAAAATATTGTGGAAGTAGCGAAGGTCATTTCCTCAATTATTTAACCCCTACTCTACCAATCGATCTTGATATGTCTTATCCTCTTCGTCCTTCGCATTCAAATTTTGTTCTCTGTGTATTTTTTTATTAATCCTGAATCTCCTCATCTTTCTATTCCATTGATGATTACAAATTTAAGACTCCAGTCAAGCCTTTATACCTAGAAGACTTAGATAAATCGATTTATAACGTTTACAATTCTTGCTTATCTGCCATTAAAACAACTCACATTAGCAAGTGGTTTCATAGTTAGTTTTATAAAACCACGTCTGTTTGCATCTATAAATTTTGATTTTTTTTAATTTTTATAATAGTAATATACCTATTGTGTACATTTATTTTAATTTTATTCAGCTCACTTGTATCATAATAATGTAGTATTTTAGATGTTCAATATGTTAATAATTAATCAAGAATTAATTTATCCAGTGTAAACTTGATGAACTGAAATAAATAGAATTATTCAACAATAGCTAATTAGTGAAAATTCTAAGATAAACACAAAAATATCGCATCTAATATTTTTTTCTGATTAATACAAAATAAAATGTACACATTTTATCATTACTCTGAAGTTCTCACCAAAACACTAACTTAAAAATAAAATGAAACAATTTTTATAATTTTTTTCTTAAATGTCTGTAAACTTTTTTAAATGGATAATTTTATGTAAATATTTAAAAACAATTAACTTTTTAAAAACAACAATACAAATAGTAATCGGTACTGTGCCAACAAATATAGAATGGCATTACCTATTGTATTTTCGCAAGACTTTATGTAAATTGTCTTAATTATAAAGAAAAATTAATAATAATACTAATATATATATATATATATATATATATATATATATATATATACATTTAAATAATATATACTATATTTACTATATTAAGCCATAGAAATGATTGATAAGTGAATCAGGTTGGTTTCAATAGTATAAATTATAATTATATTATATTATATAGATGTTCAAAATACCTATATCTTGATCTGAAAAAACTTATGGTATTTAATATATTTTATATCACTCATCACTATATGGTTAATAATAAAATTATAAATATTCAAAATACATCCGTTCTGTTTTAGAAACTTTTTTTTTTAATATATTATTATATTTTATATCCTGTAATAATTTTAAAGTATTATTTACTCTTCAAAGATGTACAAATAATATTAATATATATATGCATATAGTTTAAGGTTTAAATTTGAATATAATATATAATATAAAATGTTTTGTTGAATTTTAAATTAATACTAAATTCCATCGTAATCAATTAATATGATACAAAATATTATTAAAAGTATAATAACAAACACATTATCCAAAATTATTTAATTAGTGCAAAATTTATTTTTATTCAACTTTGTATACTCGTTGTTAGTATACAGTATACATTTACTTACTTATATTAGATATTGACTACTATAAAATAATATTATTCTAAAAGTAATAATATTTTCAAAATTAAAATGAAATAAATGTAAAATGTAAATTGAATACAATCGTTTAATAACGAACATAAAAAAAAAAAAATAATAATCCCATACTGCAATAATATGATTAAAGAGATTTGACTGTGATATATTTTTATTGTGTAATAAACATAAACACATTCAATATAGGGTTGATTTTAATTTACTGACTTTTTCTCCAAGTAATAAACACTATATTTATATATTTTGATTAATGTAAAACTGCTTTTATAATGTACTAGAATAAACAAATAGTATCATAAATATATAATATCAGAATCATCTCGAAGTTATTTTTCTAAAAAATATTTGTTAAACCGATACCAAAATTTATTAACTTATAATTAATTAATTACACTTTCGTCACTTTGTTATACAATAAAAGTTAATAACATAATATTACAAAATGATTAAAGTTATACAAATAATTTTAATTTTGAATATAAAATAAGATAAATGAAGATATTAATGAAGTAACTCGGATGAATACAATAATTTTTACTAATAATACTGCATCATATAATTTCAATTCACGCTAAAGAACATAATATTTTATAAATTCTAAATTCTAGAAACATAAAAAATTTTAATTTTTTTTTTTTTTTTAATCTTATATATTTTTGTGCAAAACCCAAATCAAAACCAAAACAACCATTGATATTTTTAAAATGTTAAATATAAGGTTACATATTTATCTACAATGTTTAATTCGATGGTAACTATAAAGTTTCATTAGGCTTGAATTTTATTCAATCAAAATATAGATTTTAAATACAATTGATTATATTTCCATTAACAAAAATAAAAAATATTGAATTTTATCAATATCAAGAATATTATAAAAAAATTGATCTCGTTCAAATATATTTTAAAATATTTATTCTTAGAACATTTATTTGTAAATGCTTAGTTTCCAAATATGTTCATGATTCAATAAAAAGTATTTATAATTACTACCATAACGGTACAAAAAATACATTGAAATTACCTTTTAGCATATTAAAGAAGTAACTATTTAGAAACTTGTTGAGCGCCTGGGAGTCCTTACTATATTAAATTAATTGTTTTATCGTGTTTACGTTTCATTAAGTTCCAAAAACGGAACTTGTGACATTCCAAGAAAGGTGTTTCTATGCAAACTCAAATGCAATAATGTACAACGACCGTAAGTCCCCTACTCTAAATATAGAAATGACCTTTATGAATAATTAACCTAATAATTATATGTTCTACACTATTAACCTATATAACAGTAGGTAATAAAAGGTAGGTACGATGAATTTTATAAACCTTTTCTTACTAAAAATTTTAATAACTTAAAATCAATAATTAATTATAATATTAAAATTATTTTTACCATGTTTATCCAAAATACATTTTTTTTCACTTAATACTGGAAGCAAATAATTAAACAGAATATAAAAATTTAATTTGCCACATCTTTTAATTTTTTTAGTTAGGTATTTAGGTATTTAGGTATTTAATACTCATAAAATATTACCAAGTTATTAAGTGGATGAGTTTATGACTATTGTTAAAACAAGAACGAGGAACTACAAAACAACTGTAGAAGAATATAACTCTTGAATATATTTTAATAAAAAGTAAAATTACATTAGCTAAATAACCGTCAATTACCTCACATAAAACATTCAAAATAATATAAAATATCTATTTTTATTTTTTAATATTAAAAAAAAAAAAAATAACTTGAACAATAAAAATTAGATATGTATTAAAAATATAAAATAAATAATGTGATTCTTTCAACAGTTATTAATATAAATCACTATTTTAAAAAGTATTAAATTTTTTTCTTTTTTTCATAATTTATTGTCATCAGAAAAACATATATTTTTTTCCTATGTTTCATCATTGTCAATATTTAATCTTTTTTTATTTTTATATAACATACGACATTAAAAATAAACTGTTTTATTCTAAAGCAGAATATTTTTCTAAGAATTCTTATTGTTTCTATTGAATTTCAATAGTATCAAGGTTAATTATAAATTATAAGTAATTTAAGTTTGATTGTATTACTCCGCCATCTACTCATGTTGTGTCTTTAAGATTAAATATCAACGAAAATAGAATGATAGTATTGGTACGTCATAACTTCAATTTATATAAGACAAAAATATACAAATAAACAATATTGTTGATATTGTTGAGATGATGAGTATTTAACGCTGAAATAATGAAACAAAACATAATTATCGTAACTATATTTACGAATAACTAAACATTAAAATATTAATAGAAATTAGAAATTCAACCAATAAAATATTTACATAAACATAATCCCTTTAAAATAATTACTTTAATTTCAAACATAAAATCAATAATCTACGAGTATAGTAAAATCACCTAAGTACTATAATACTAAGTACGTACGTCAGCGGGCTGGGTAGGGATAGAACTGATGAGTTTAGCATAGAATACAGATAATTGTATACGTATAAATTATTATTTTCTTTTTTATGTATTATGTATTGAATTGTATACCACAATTAACGATAGCAGCGAAGGAGTAGTATTATTCACACAGATCCTCTTTCGCTGTCGGTTATCCAAGGAAAATAAAAAAAAAGTTATGATAATACTTTGAATTAAAACCATGGATCTCTAATGCAATAATAATTATTGAAAATAATACTAAAAATGGTGAAAGTATAATACATTTTTGTACAGTAACAGTTAAATGCGTTTTCATCATAGATCAAGTATTATAATGGATTGAAATTCAATAACGAATTATAGTACACAGTAAACAAAAATTCTAACTGCAGACAGTAACCGTGGTAATTAAATATATATTTTAGCAATAGGACTAAAATTTAAAAAAAAAAAATTTGTAAGGTTAGTTTAATAATTTTAGTTTTTCTCCATTATTTTAAAAATGACTGTGAATTTTCACTTTTACCTCTCAATATTAACTACTAGGTTCATTTTTTTAGAAGAAACTTCTATTAAATCTGATGATTGGAGAAATTTTATATTAAAAAAATGTCTTTAATTACACAAATAAAAAATTTAAAAAAACCATTCATTATTATAAAATCAATACATTCAACACTAGGCTAATTAAAAAAAAAAAAAAACTTAAATAATTCATTAAAAAATAAATCAATAAGTAAAGTTATAATTATAACAAACATTTTTTTTTTTTTTTTTTTTTTATTAAACAACTATCCGCGGCGTCTATGGCCATTGGATGTAACAGTACATTATTATCTTAAGTATATTTACATATTACATTAA